TTAGATTCAATTTATGAGCAGAAAAGTGAATTGAATAAAATGTTAGTGCATGAACATTTTCATCAATATGTAATGAATTCAACAGACATTGTCGCACAACACGTTGCAAAAGTTGAAAATCTTGCACGTCAAATCAAGGACTATTAGTGAACTGATTAGTGATACAGCAATTATCACGAAAATCATCGGAACTCTTCCAATTAAATATAGAAACTTTAGAGCTTGGTTATCTATACCAAAAGATAAACAAACACTTATTAATTTGGCAGCACGTTTACTAGATAAAGAGGCTTGTCTAACTTCCAACGAACAAAAAGAAAATGCATTGATCGCATTGTCAAAAACTAAAGAAGGCGATAAAATTTCAAAGAATCAAAAATCAGGATTTAATAAGAAATCCAAGATTATGTGCTATAATTGTCAAAAGAAAGGACATTATGCATCTGAATATAAAGCTCCGAAAAAATTACGTGAAACTAAACAAGATTCGTCGAAAGAAAAACAACAAAGCAATTTTTCAGCTTTTACTGTAAGTAAAGAAAAAAAAGATATGCATATTTAGCGCAGAGCTCGGCTCAGTTACCGCCATTTGCATCTGAATTTCGGGAAGGAGTTTATCGCAGGATGCTTTAGCGCAGAGCTCGGCTCAGTTTCCGCTAGTTGCGTCCGAAATTTTTGTTGATAGTCGATCATTATTCAATGATCGATCGTATCAATGTTGTTTCGAGATCTGTGCTCGACCATCATCGACGGGACCACAAATTTAGAATTTCCGTGCTCAACCATGGGATCAACACTAGAACTACCGACGATTAACATATACCAATTTCTATTTCTTTTTCTTCTTTTATAAAAAAGTGATAAAGAGAAAACGTACATTAATCAATTTAATTATTTAACACAATGCAACAAGTCACAGAAAAAAATCTCAAAAAATACATTATAAATTTAAATAATTATTCTAAAATGAATAAACCGGTCATTTTGACCGTTTGGTAGTTCTAGTGTTAAGCCATAGGACCACGGATACATAGGTAGGCTAGGAAAGATTGCGAAGAAATTGACGTATAGCAAGAATAAATATATATTTCAAAATTGTAAATAAATTGTTAATAAAAAAATGCACTCTTTTTTTATTAGATAAATTACTTCAAATATACCATAATTTATTAATATATTTACGTTTGTGTAAAAGAATTTTCTTTTTCATTTTTAATTTAAATTTGTGATACATTTGTGGTACATATGTATTTAAACATTTTCTTACTTTTGCTTTCAACGCCAATTTATAATATTTAATCCTGGAAAGATATAAAAAGATAAACCACTTACCGTAGGGAAGGAAGAAATGAAAGTACACATTTACACACAGAAAAGGAATTTTGCTATCGCAATAAAATAATCGTTGCTATTGCATGTTAAATATGTTAGCGATAAAATTTTGCTACTGTAACTACTTTTACAGATTATTCGATATGCAACAAATCTGTTTTGTTCAAAAAATCGACAAATTTTGAGATGAGAAAACAAGTTAAAATTCGCTGTTACAACAAAATAATTTATTTTTAATAAATTTATTTTACTATTGCAATGAAATTGTCGCCATTAATACAAATTTTGATAATAAGATAAAAATAAATTTCTTATTATATATTAGCAATATAATTTGCAGATTTAACAAAACTAATTTCGGTAAATAAAATTATTATTTATAACAAATCTCTTTGCTGTTCAAATAATAATTAACTGTAAGAAATCTTGCTACGACAGCTTATATAAAATTTACTGCGGCAGCAAATACTTTTTTTCTATGTATTAACAAGTTTTTTCTTTTATTTTATGTATAATCTTTTTTAAATATTTTTTTTTCTATTTTTTCTCATATAAAAAAAATATAAATAAATATATAAACAAACATAAGTACATTATTCAAAATAAAAATATATTGGGTTATTTAAAAAATTTGTAATAATTTTTATAATAAAATTGAAAACAATTTTTATATGTTTAGAGTCATCTTTGTTCAGTAATATATGCACCATTGTTTTCGACAACTTTTGGCCATCTTTAACAACTTGTGCATACATTATTAAATAAAGATATATAAA